GTGAACCCACTCAGCCTCTGCTAATGGGAATAAAAGTGGGGCCATAGTGTTTTTCTTTGGTATTGAGCTGGAGCAGAGTGGCTGCTGTCTAAAAGTTTTCTTCTTGCCCTGGCTGGCAAGCTCAGTTGGTTAGAGCATCATCCCAATATGCCAAGGTTGCGAGTTCAATCCCTAGTTAGGGCACATACAAGAAGCTACCAATGAATGCATAAATTAGTGAAATAACAAGTCAATCTCTGTCTCTCTCTCTAATCAATAAATACAAATTTAAAAAATAAAAACATTTTCTGTCTTGCTAGGTTGCCCTTTTCTGAAGGATTTTATTGTCACTTTGGTTTTTCTAGATTGCCAGGTTCTCCAGCACCTAGTATGGTCCATATGAGGTGGAAAAAGAACCCAGAGAACTCACTGTCACCCCTTCAATTCCAAGGCTTAAAGACAGTTTTCTTTCCACCTTTCAGTCTTCTTATGTTTGTTTAACATATGGTGTCCAGGGGGGTTAGGTATACCTAGTGGGAGGAATAAGGAAAAGCACTCCAATTCCCAGAAGTGGAAATACCCATAATCTCACTTGAGTTTTATGGCCATGAGTTAAGAAAAAGTTGAGTGGGCAAGAACACATATTTTTCATCAGTCGCTTCCAATGACTAGGGTGCAAGTACTGAGAAGGTAGAGGTTGAATTTAATCATAACTGTGATTTTGTCAAGTGAATATGCCAAAACAGAAAGGGACAGAAAGTTGAATGATTATAATGATTGCCCATGAACTTTATGTTGAGTAAGGAGGATGGAGAGGATATCAATGAGTAAATGACAGCAACAATATGACAACTTCAATGAATTGGAGGTACTGACAATATTGAAATGTCATTGGAGTCTATATACTCGAGAAAGCAAGCTGGAAAAAAAGATAGTGGTCACAGGATGGAATGCATGAAGTTGAGTTTCAGGTAATTACAAGGTCTGAAGTATGACTACAAGAGCATGTCACTGTGGTAGGATGGAGGACAAGATCACTGGAGGAAAGGATTAAGAGAACTGAGACACCAGAGTGTTAGAAAAACCATTTATGTCTATATAGAAATTACCAAGAATTAATACAGAGGTAGTTTTAAAGAGTGATGGTGATCCAGGAACTAAAATTAAGGAGAAATAAAAGAAAATGATGTAGGAGCCAGTAGACTATAACAATGAGTGAAAGGAAGTGAGGGTAATAAAATCTGATGACAATGTTGACAGTATTTTCCCTATCCCACTCTAGTTCCCGATTCCTGTTAGCTTTCTCATTACTTTTGGAAAATGAGAGTGTTATAACTCAATAGGCCATTTGCCTATTCATCTTCAGTTTTTCTAGTTTTTCATGGCAAAACCTTCAGTTTTTTCCCTTACAGGAATTTCCCAGGATCACAATTCCCAATGAGCACCAAAACAATTATTCTCACTAGGTAAGATTTCTGGCTTGCCTAGGTTATAGCCTGGGGGTTTCTGGACTCCCTGGCTTGTCATGACCCTCTGGGTCTGAGAGGGAAAGTTGGGTCACCAAGGTAGGTTAAGGAGAGAATCAACTAGAGGACATTTCTGTAACATGTTTCCTTCTGGAACACACAGGCTCTGCTCCTAGACTAACAATCTCAGTATTGATTCCCCACTGCTCAGGATTCACTCCTTAATCAGCTGGGGATGATGGCAGATACAAAGGAATAACTGGTACCACTCTGTTTCCATATGGGAACGAAACCAGAAGCTGAAAAAGGCAATGTTGGGAACGAGGTAGGATGGAATGAAGAAAAATTACATTTATTGAGCACCTGCTATGTGTCTATGTGTCTGACACTACATTGAGTGTTTTTTTGTTTGTTTGCACAGTTATACTGTAGGATGGTGTTATTTTTCTACCTTTACAGATGGAAAAATGCTCAGAAAACCAAGTTACTGATTGATTGTCACATTTACCAAACGGCAAAGATAGGGTTCAGACCACAGTCTACCTGATGTAAAAGTCTGTGTTGCATACTAAGAAAGCACCTGGAAATTACAACATAACAATGGAAGGAATACATAGTGATACATGTGAAGTCATGTTATAACAATCTTCTATACAGAGTTTCTCCAGTTTTCTGCACATGCTGCAGTTTTATTGAAGAAAATATTGCTTAGTATGTAAGTGAAAAAGCAAGTGGCCTTATTGCTATGCTTAGTTTTATCATTAACATAAAAATAAATAGCTGAAGATCTGACATATACAACTGTACTTATAAGTCCAGTCTTTTCCTAGCCACTCTTTTCTGTATGGAAAGAAAAACACCCCTTCATAAATAACTAAATACAGTTACACTTATATTTTATGACCATACCCCCCAGGTATGCAAGTATCTCTCACGCACATATGTGCATTATAAGGATATACAGAGAACTTGGCATAAATAAGTAAACACATAAAAATTAGTAGGGAAGTAAAAGATAAGTTATGGGTCTTTAAGGAATGAGAAAAGTGGTGGAAGAGTAGGTGGAGAGCAGTTAGAAAAGGGAGAGAGGATTTGGAGATCTCAGATATGCAGCAGAACAAAAGACACTGTAGCCAGTACACAATGCCAGGTCTTCCAATAGATAGCATTTTGATAATTCTCAGTATAACAAAGAGAGGGTCTATGAGCATCTCTTTCCTCAGGGAGGGGAAAGGAGGAAGCAGGAGTCACAGGCTGGGCTGCCAAAGCCAAATATTCTCCATTACTTCTGAATTTTCAATTTCAGCCAACAGGAGAAATATGTATATTCTTCAATCAATTTGGTGGGTTCTGCACCCTTCCTGTTAAGCACATAAATACTTCCTTTTTTTTTCTGGGGTTTCTGCTAATATATATTTGGACTCTGTGGTGCACCCAAAAGAATCAGAGGCAAGGCACTTGGCCTTCAAATGTTGCTCTCTAAGTTTGAGGGATTAAGTACACTCATACAGGAAGCTTGAAGAGCATAGACGTGGAGGCCATTCTGCCTGGGGTGGAATCCTGGCTGTAGCACAGTTAACCTGTTCTTGGGCAAGATATCTTCTGTGTGGCTTAGTTTTCTTCTCTCTAAAATGGGGATATATATATAATGGACCTGGAAGAGTGCATGCTATACAGTAAGTACAATATACATGTCTGAGAAAAGAAAGATGGAAGGAAGGAAGGAAGGAAGAAAGGAAAGAAGGAAGGGAGGGAGGGAGGAAGCAAGGGAGGAAGGAAGGGGTTACAAATGAGTAATTTCAATTAAATGAGGGACTATAGAGCAGAGTGAGGTGGAATTAACCAAATAAGTCTCCACAGAAGACATGAATACAAAACAGACTGTAAAATGAATATTCAGAACCATCAATATGAATGTGGCCTATGTAAAGACTTTGCTCAGGAGTTGTCTGGACAGAGTCACCCAAGCTTCCCTCCTGCTGTCTTTGATTTTGAACTCTGTAAATTCCCTTATTCTGGGGAACTTATACTTTAACATAGTCTAATGTAACTGTTCCTACTATTCCCCCCACCTACCACTCCAAATCCTATTTCAAGACTAACACCTTCTCTTTTTATGCTCTCCTTTTTATTGTAAAGTGAATAAAAAAAATAAGAAGGCTTCCAGTGAGAAAATGGTGAGAAAAGTGAAACTTCCAGGACATTATTAAGAAAACTAAACAATAGGCTGACCACGATGGTGGGCAAGGCTGTGAAAACTTAGGCAAGAGAGTAAGCAAGGCGGAGGTGCTCACAGAGACACCTGGGAAAATAACCCCAAAATCAAGTTTTTGGTGAAAGCACCATCTTTACTGTCTTCATAAACAAAACAGGGAAGAATGGGTAAAGTTTTGGCAGAGCTCTAACATGTTGTGCCATCAGAAGACATACCAGGGTGAAGCTGACCATGTAAAAAATGTGGGCCAAGTTCCAGCCAGAGTAGAGCTGGAAGTCCATGCTCAGGAGAGGCCCTGAAGGTGCAGTGAATGCACAGATAGCTTTAGCTCTGGCTCATGCCTCACCATGTCCCACATCAGGCCATATCATTGCCTTGACTATGAGAAAATTTTACATGCACCATTTAGATGGTGCATCAGAGAATCCAGACTGAAACAAAACTGCAAAATGTAGTTTGTGGCAAAAGCTTCAGAAGGAGCTCAGCATCCCCATCACTGAGTGGCCAAACTGAGGGAAAAAATCCTGTCTTCGTGGTGAGTGTGGGGAAAAGCTTCAGGTAAAGCTCAAGTCTCATTGTACCCCAGAGAATCCAGGTGGGGAGAGACCTTAGAGTGCAATGCATGTGACAAGATTTCCTGCCTCAGCATAACCTTTGTGATGCACAGGAGAGAAGCCTTACAAATCTTGTATGTGGGAAAGTTCGGGTCATGGCACCAGCTTAATTTTATATTATAGATACTATGCGGGTGAGGAAACTTGGTAGTGTCATGTGCAGAAGAGATTTGGTGGCAGATCTCTTAAGATAAAAGACAACCCACAGCTCAGGAACAGTTTGACAGAGAAAAGTTCTGTAATACTGTATTTCCTTGGTCATAAGCAACTACATGAGGCAAAGGCAAGAATCCACTACTCCAAAAGTGACTTGTCTCATGAATAAAATATCACAGGAGCAAAACTATCTATTTTTTCCTTTACCCCCAGGATTAACTGCGGGGTATTGAAGGGACAGCCCAGGTATTCTCATATGAGAGTGTGTCTTCTGACTTTCCATTTCCCATCTTCATTCAGCCAATGAAAAGAATAATGAACGGGTCAGAGATGTTGAGGCCAAGACAAGAGTTCTTTGATATGAAGGGACACAACCCTTGGAATTTGTAATAGGGTTAGCTCAGCCATGAACTCTGATTTTTAGGGTGAATTGTGAGTTTTTTTCTTCTTTGCCTCTCCATTTTTGGCTTCATTTGCTGCCTTTGGTTAAAGCATGTTGGATCCTTCAGGTAAATATTATTCAGGTTAACAACCACCCTGAGGCTTTTAAAAAACACAAACACTTTGTAGTTGCTTTGGCAGCACATCTACTAAAATTGAAATGATACAGAGAAGATTATTAGCATGGCCCCTCCTCAAGGGTGACAGACAAATTTGTGAAGCATTCCGTAGTTCTAAAAGAAACAACTCACAGACACAGACAACAGTACATTGATTATCAGAGTGAAAGTGGGGTGGGAGTAGGTAGAAGAGGGTAAATGGGGAGGAGGGCGGTAAATAGTGATGGAAGGAGACGACAGGGTGGTTAACAAACAATACAATATACACATGACATATTATAGAATTAGACATTTGAAACCTATATACTTTTATTGACCAATGTCACCCCAATAAATTCAATAAAAAAGTAAAATCAAGAAATATAAATATTTTGTGCAGTATTGAAAGATTAGTGTGTATAGACTACATATCAACAAAGCAAAAACAGATAAACACTAATTTTCTCCTGTTCTTATTTATTTATTTATTTAACTGATTTATTTTTTAATTAATTAATTTATTTTTTCAAATACATTTGTCTCCGCCTTACCCCCCACCACTTTCCCCTGCCCTCCTCCCCCCCTCCCTCCCTCAGTCCTTCCCTACTTTGGCTTTGTCCATGAGTCCTTGCTATATGTTCCTTGACTTTCCCTTTCCCTTCCTTTTCCCCCTGCCACTCTCCTTCCCTCTTGTCTCTGTTGGTTTCTTTTCCTTTCAGTGTTGCTGGTCTTATTTTCCTTGCATCTTTGTTTTCTTGGTTAGGTTCCGCTTATAGGTGAGATCATATGGTATTTGTCTTTTGCCCACTGGCTTATTTCGCTTAGCATAATGCTCTCTAGTTCCATCCATGCTGTCGCGAAGTGTAGTAGTTCTTTTTTTCTTTCTGCTGTATAGTATGTCATTGTGTAAATGTACCATAATTTTTTGATCCAGTCATCTATTGATGGGCATTTAGGTTGCTTCCAACACTTGACTATTATCAGTTGTGCTGCTATGAACATTGGCGTGCATAGATTCTTTTGATTGGTGTTTTCGGATTCTTAGGGTATAGTCCCAGCAGGGGAATCACTACATCAAAAGGCACTTCCATTTTCAGCTTTTTGAGAAAATTCCACACTGCTTTCCACAATGGCTGCACCAGTCTGCATTCCCACCAACAGTGTACTAGTGTTCCCTTTTCTCCACAGCCTCGCCAGCACTTGTTTGTTTGTCTGTATATGATGGCCATTTTGACCAGTGTGAGGTGGTACCTCATGGTGGTTTTGATCTGCATTTCTCTGATGGCTAGTGATGCTGAGTATCCTTTCAAATGTCTCTGGGCTCTCTGTATCTCTGCCTTGGAAAAGCGTCTGCTTAGGTCTTTTGCCCATTTTTTGATTGGATGATTTGTCTTCTTGGAGTGGAGTCGTGTGAGTTCTTTATATATTTTGGAGATCAAAACCTCTATCTGATGTATCATTAGCAAATATATTTTCCCATACAGTTGGCTCCCTTTTCATTTTGCTGATGTTTTCTTTAGCCATGCAGAAGCTTCTTATTTTGATGCCAATCCCTTGTTTATTCTTTCCTTTATGTCCCTTGCTTTAGGAGACATATCGGTGAAAAAATTGCTACATGGGATATCTGAGAGTTTCCTGCCAATATTCTCCTCTAGGACTTTTATGATGTTGCAACTTATATTTGAGTCTTTTTTCCATCTTGAGTTTATTTTTGTGTATGGTGTCAGCTGATGATCCAAATTCAATTTTTTTGCATGTAGCTGTCCAGCTCTCCCAACAGCATTTGTTGAAGAGGCCATTATTACTCCAATTTATGCTTTTGCCCCCTTTGTCAAATATTAGTTGCCCATATAGACCTGGGCTTATTTCTGGGATTTCTATTCTGTTCCACTGGTCTATGGGTCTGTTCTTGTGCCAGTACCAGGTTGTTTTGAGTATAGTGGCTTTGTAATATAGTTTGATGTCAGGTATTGTGATCCCTCCTACTTTGTTTTTCTCTCTCAAAATTACTGTGGCTACTCAGGGTCACTTACGGTTCCATATAAATTTTTGAAATGTCTGTTCTATTTCTGTGAAATACGTAATTGGTATTTTAATAGGGATTGCATTGAATCTATAAATTCTCTGGGTAGTATGGACATTTTGATGATATTAATTCTTCCAGTCCATGAACACAGTATTTGCTTCCATTTATTTGTGTCTTCCTTAATTGCTTTCTTCAATGTTGTATAGTTTTCTGTGTACAGGTCTATTACCTCCTTGGTTAAATTTATGCCTAGGTACTTTATTTTTCTTTTTGCTATATTGAATGATTTTTTTTCTAATTTCTTATTCTTCTATTTCATTGTTGGTGTACAAAAATGCCTTTGATTTCTGAATACTGACTTTGTATCCCGCTGTTTTGCCAAATTCACTTATTAGGTTGAGTAGTTTTTTAGTGGAGTCTACAGGGTTCTCTATGTACACTATCATGTCATCTGCAAACAATGATAGTTTTACTTCCTCCTTTCCAAATTGGATGCCTTTATTTCTTTTTCTTGTCTGACTGCTGTGGCTAGGACTTCCAATACTATCTTGAAGAGAAGTGGTGAAAGTGGGCATTCTTGTTGTGTTCCCGATCTTAGTGGAAAAGCTTTTAGTTTTTTCCCATTGAGTATGATGCTGGCTGTAGGTTTTTCATATATGGCCTTTATTACATTGAGGAATGACCCATTTATTCCCATTTTGCTGAGTATTTTTATCATAAACGGGTGCAGTACTTTATCAAATGATTTTTCAGCATCTATTGATATCATCATGTGATTTTTGTCTTTCCTTTTGTTTAGTGTAGCCTCCACTCACTCCTCCACTATCTTGGATCTTCCCCAGACCATCTTTTCTCTCACTGTAGTGTAAAGCACCATTAGATTAGGATTTAGGAGACCTGAGACTCCAGGCTCCATTTTGGAGTTACAGTCAAGTCATAATATCATTGTGCCTCCATTTCTTCCTCTGTAAAATGGGACTACAATTTTTCCTTTCCTGCAGAGAATTGGAAGATCATATGACAATGTTTTGGAAATTTAAAGCACTATCTAAACACAGAATATAAATACTCAATAGAAATACATGACCAAAAAAATACTGCACATGCTGCAGAGAAAGAATTCAGGCATCAGAGCTGGGCACATCAGGGTTTCAATCCTGACTTTAACTCTCATTACCAGTCTGACTATGGACAATTTACTATCTTTCTGAGGCTCAGATTGCTCAACTACAAAACTGGGATGCAATCCTAAGTAGTTATTATAAAATCTTGTAAGCCATGTGTTACGGACTAAAAATTGTGCCCTGTACCCCAATTCATATATTGAAGTCATAACACCCTTTTTGACTATATTTGGAAATAGCCTTTAAGGAGGTAATTAAAGAAAAATGAGGTCATAATGGTAGGGCCCTCATTGATAGGACTGGTGTCCTTATCAGAAGAAGAGATACACCAGGAGTGTACATGCACAGAAAAAAGGGAGGATACAGGGAGAAGGCAGCTATCTGCAAGCCAAGGAGAGAGGCTCAGTAGAAACCAATCCTGCGGACCTTGATTTCTGATTTCCAACCTCCGGAATGTTGAGAAAATAAATTTTATTGTTTAAGCCACCCAGCCTGTGGCATTTTGTTATAGAAACCAGAACAGACTATCATGCCATGTAAGGTACTTAGCACAAAAACAACCACATTATCAGGTATACAACATATATAGCTTTTTTTTCTCTTAGAAACAAGATTTTACTATTGTCCCAATGGTTTGTTAAGGTTATTTATCTAGATCTGGTGATGGGTTGGTTGTCCTTAGGATTAGTGATATTTGTAATATCTGCAGCCAAGATTAAAACAAAGCAGTTGCCATACTGCATTGAACTTGTGATTTATCATGCTCATCATTTTGCCTCTGTGAGAGGGGCCAAGCAACAGATGTGTTATGAAAAGGTAAAATTGGCATTAACATCAATTCCAAAACACGCTAGTTCCTCTATTTTGGTATTCACCCTTGAATTTCCCTAATTTTTTAATCTGCTATACTTTCTGTATCTCTGTAGGTTCACCGTTAGTTTACTACCCATAGAGCAAGCGTTCTTGTTAATTTTTCTTCTTATCTAATTGTGATTTCAAGGAGTGTCTCTTAGTTTCACTACCTGTGACTTAGCAAGTTCAACTCTATGATTACTCTAAATTTTGTAGTTTCATTTTTCTGGAATTTCTCTAAGTTCTGTTTTTTCTCCTTAGATACAAACCACCAGAGCTGCAATTTATAGTGAAGTTGTTCTATGATACTGTACAAGGGCAGAAAAATGCTAGCATCATGTTTGGTCTCCAAAGCATTTCTTAATGGAGGCCATCATTTAGGTAAAGTCACAGCACAGCCCTGACCCATGTGGCTCAGTTGGTTAGGCAAAAGGTTGCTGGAGGTTGCTGGTTAAATTCCCAGTCAGAACAGATGCCTGGGTTGCAGGTTCCATCCTTGGACATGTAGAGAGGCAACCAACGGATGTTTCTCTCTCACATTGATGTTTTCCTCCCTCTCTTTCCCCCTCCCTTCCCCTCTCTCTAAAAATAAACAAACAAACATAAAATATTTTTTTAAAGACACAAAGCTGGGCTGGGAAGAGGGAGGAATCTTGGGAGAGGAGTTCCCTTCACATCCTGCTGGGGCCAGATGCTAGGGGCATTGACTAAGCAGTCTCCATCTCCTCCGCTACTCATAGCTGGGAACTCAGAGCTGCAGAGTCAGTCCTGAAGAGGGGTTTCAGGTAGAACACAGGACTTTCAGGACAGATAGAACAAATCCCACAAAGCCTGATGGAAGGGCATCACATTCCCACCCCCTCCCCTGAGCTCCACCCCATCTGTGTTCGCTAGGAATCCAGCACACCTCAAAGTCTCTTTGGTTCCCTGAGCCTACCTCTATAAACATATGGGAAACAAATCACCTCCTCAGGCCGCAGATTAGAACAAGGTTAAGAGACAGCTCCTCACCAATGAGAAAGAAATAAGGAGCTGATGGGGAATCTAGCTGCCTGAGTGTAAGGAAGGTGCAGGTCACAAATTTTGGGAACTAGCACCTGGTATCTAATTGTTCCTTCTGCTGAGAAAGGACCCCAAGCTAATGACCAGGTCCTGGTTGCACTCAGATGGCTCTGGTCCTTTCCTAAAAACAACACATTTTTGATAGACTCAGTCATAGGCTTCATCCTTGCCAGTACCTTACCAAATATTTCTATAGAATTCCACCAACATGCTCGGTGCGCCCATATACTGATATGATGGCAGTGCAGATTGCACTATTCAGCTCCTTTTTTTGCCTTAGAACCCTACGAACACTTTCATGTTAAAAATGGGTATGAAAAGTAACATCTTGAACAAACAACTCTTGCTCTATCTTGCCCAAACTTGAGAAAACAAAATATGTGACCCTCATGTTTTGTTTCCCTTTCCTTTTGGAGGCTTGGAAAGGAAGGCTGTGATGGATGTGGTGACAACATAGAAGCAAAATATTTTGCAGTCAAATATGCAAAATGTCGTACCTTTTTTTTTTCTACAACTAGGAGCAAGTAAAAAAAAATGTAAGACTACAGATCAACAGTTTTGACATTAGAAATAAGTTTCTGGAAGTCAGAGCTGCTTTCAAATGAAAAAGGTTGTCTTGGGAGGCAGTGAACTCCCCATAATTGAAAGGGTTTCATGAAGAAACTGGATCGTCAGTTGCTAGGAAATGCTTTCTCCAGTTCAACAACTATTAAGCACTTCTTGTATGCACACACCTACAAACTGAATGGGGATTCTTCCACTTGGGTGAGAGGTTGGGTTTGATAATCCCATGAGACCCGTTACAATTCTGTAATAATTTTATATCTTGGATCAAAACTGTTTTCACACAGGTGACAAGGACAGTTTCACCACTCTGTAATGTTTGATGTTTATAACATAGTTTAGGGCAGCAATTTTATTATGTTTCCCATTACCATTTATCCCTCTTATAACCTCTACCACCTCCACCCACCCCCCCAGTGCAGCAATTTTCAACCAGTGTGCTACAGCACACTATTGTTGCAAGAATTTTTAAAACATGCAATACCTGACTAAACAGAGGCACTGACCTCTTTTCCCTTAGACTGTTAAATAAAAAAAAAATGGCAACAGCCAACACAATAGCCATCCAATGTGAATGAATCAAAATTACTTTTTTTTTGTCAGATCAAAAAAAAATTTTGGTGTGCCAAAGATTTTTAGAATTTTAGTTTGTGTGTCATGAGATGAAAAAGGTTGAATGAAAATTGCTAGTTTAGTACTTAAGAGCTTAGTTTTTTGAAGCAATCTGCATTCTAATGCTAGTTCTGCCAGAGGGCTGTGTGATTTGGGGAAAGTGAACTATTCTGAACCTGTTTTATCAAACTGTAATAAGTGAAACCACCTCATAATGTTGTGAAGATTAAGTGAGATGATCCACATAAAGTACTTAGGGTGTATAAAACATAAATGCTCAATAAATGTTAATACTAGGCTTTATTGAACTTGCCATTCATAAGCCTTATACCTGACATTTAGCTCTGTGATTCTATTTGCAAGAGACAAGCATCTCCTTAATGCTCCATTTTCTCTCTTCAAGCCATCAGCGACTTTCAGCACGAATTCCATAATCCTTGTATTATTTTCATGTTCTTCTAACAAACCTTACCCAAGTCAGTATATCCTTTCCTATCTGTATACTATCCTAGTTCACCAAAGTGCTTCACAAATGAACAGCCACCATACACTGGGGACTTACAAATACTTCCACACCCATCAGTGAGGGGGTCCCCATTGCCTTGTGGTCAGTGACCAACTCCAGAATATATTCTTAGCTTCCTAGGACAGCTCACAGCACCAAGTGTTTTACATAAGGTTCCCTAAAGCAGAACCTGAGACAGGGATTCAGAGCCACATGATTGGCTAAGGGTATGCTCTTCAGGAAAACTCTTTACGAGAGGGAATGAAACAGACCAAGAAAACAAGGGCCATCCATGAACATAGTCTCAAGGTCTAGCCTTAGCCTGATCCAGAAAGGATGGGTTGGGGAGCATAAACTACCTTAGTTTACCTCTATTGTAAGAAACTGAATCAACTTTTTGTACTCCAAAGTCAGTCACTGGCTAAAGAGCAGATAACTCCTGGGTGCAGCATCTGGGTCCACCATCTGAGGACAATTATCCGGAGTCTCTGGAGAAGGGAAGAGCTATGAGCACTTAGCAGCCAAAACTCTAAGCAGCTTAAGGAATGGGTGTGACAGCTTGGTCAAGGGGATCTGGACAGGACACCAGTGTACAACACCATCAATCAACAAGTTTTTATAGGGTATTTATTATATGTGAGGCAGTCAGCAGAAGCAGGACTTCAGCAGTGCCCAAAAGCTTTCTCTAGCAAACAGGCTCAGGTTAACCCTTTTTTCCATGCCATCTTCTTTTCCCAACTCCTACCTAGACCTTCCTAAATTAGGCAGGCTTAACCAGTCCATGACCTCCCTGCTCCTAATTAGTTTTCTTTCAAATCCAACTGTAATGCAAATTGGCACTCATTATACATGCCAATAACCTATGGGGGAGATCTACCTCCAGAGCAACTGGAAATTAATACACGTACTGCTTGGACCATGATTCTTAATTCAAGTTGGTCCAGCTCCTTCTATGGATGTAGCCATCCTTATTCTTGTGGGTAACAGGAAAAAAAAAAAAAAAGTCCACCATTTGGCCCATCTTCTCTATTCCCCTAAAGTCTGCTCCCCTCTCCTCAAGATATGACTAGCCAACCATTTCTTCTAGATTGACAAACTTCTCTTTCTAATAGCTAACCTGATGCTAGTATAATTTTTTTAAAAAGTAGAGTTTCATGGAGTTATTGAATAGGATAATAAGGAACACATACCATTTGGCCTCTGAACCCCAATTTTGCCAAAATATAAACATCTTAAGTCAATTTTATTCAATACTTTAATGCATATGATGAGAACAATGACTGGAGCCTTCTACTGGGTAGAATTATCATTTCTATGAAAGGTTCATTGCTGAGGTATCAAAAGGGGTATCATGCTGAAAAGTTCTTTACCTGTGCTCTTCCCTGGATAAGCTGTTAAAAAAGGCAAAAACTATAAATAAAGCTTATTCCTACTATATTCTTGAGGCTTTTTCCAGTGTCAATGTTCTGAGATTCAAAAGAAGATTAAGTGCCACCTGAAGGCTTTCCTTCACCCACTATCTCCATAGGTTCTTTCATCTACATTCTCAAGCATGAAGATGCTAATGAGTATTTCTCCTTGGGAAAAGCAGATTACCTATTTATTGTTCTCCAATTGTCCTAAATTCTAATTGAAGGATTTCAATATATCTATAGGTTTGATGGTTAAGCTAGAGAAATTGCTTGAAGTTGTTACTACATTCAATATTGGAGTAGGATTTCTCTTCAGAAAGTCTTCTCTAAATTGAGTAAGAGATTTGCTACAACAGAAATATCTATACATTTAAGGTATTTAAGGAATCTGTCCTCTCATGACTTCTCATATGTTTGAAGAGGCTACAACTCCAACTGAAACTCATTCCACATTCTTTACATTGAAAGGGTTTCTCTCCAGTATGAATCCTCTGATGTTGGTTAAGATGTGACTTCAGAGTGAAGCCTCTGCCACATTCATTACATTGATGGGATTTCATGTTGGAATAGGTTTTTTGACGTTTTATGTGGGAACATTGGCCATTTTCTCTACATATATCACATTTGCAGGTTTTCTCTGCAGTATGAATTCTGTAATGCTGAATAAGGTCAGAACTATAATTAAAGGTTTTGCTACATATATCACACTTATAAGGCTGCTCTTGTAACTCAATCTTCTTATCTTCAATCACTGTTAAATTCCAACTATATGCTTCCTCACAAATGCCATTTTTTTCATTTTTCTGACCCACATGGAGCACCTGATGTTCAATGAGGCTAACATACTGAAAAAAGATTTCTCCACATTCATGACACTGATGGGATTTCTCTCTAGAGTGAAGTCTAAGATGCCCAGCAAGGTGTGAACGCCTCCCAAAGCCTTTCCCACACTCATTGCATTTAAAGGGTCTCTCTCCACTGTGCACACTCTGATGCTGAACAAGATGGGACCTCACTCTAAATGCTTTCCCACATAAATGACAGGTATAGGGTTTTTCACCAGTGTGGACTCGCTGATGTTGAGTTAGATGCACACGTTGATTATAGCTTTTCCCACACTCATCACACCTAAATGGTTTCTCCCCAGTGTGTATTCGCTGATGTTGAATAAGATGGGCACTCTGAATAAAACTTTTTCCACATTCATTACATTTATGTGGTCTTTCTCCTGTAGAGGATTTTTTGTGGACATATGTGACTTCACTGAAATTTATCCTCTTTGAAGATCGTTGTCCTAGTATCTCTTTCATGGGAATTCCCTGCTTTCTATCCAACTTGTCTTCTCCAAAATCTTGAACTTGAGAAACATTTTTTTGGATTCTTCCAGAAAGTTCCATGTCTGCTTCTGAAAATTCTGAAATTTTCTTAACATTCAATTTTGTATTCTTACTTCTTTTTTCACTGCCTGAAAAAAACAAAGAGGAAATGCAAATGTTATCAGTTTTTTTACAGAAGAAAAATAAACTGTCAGAAAAAAAAGAGAATAATCAAATAAAAATTCAATGTAACAGGAGTAAGAAAGAGGAATGCATGTATGTACTTGATACCATCAGGAATGAAAAGGCCCTTTAGTATTTGTTGAGTGAAAAGAATAAAATAAAGAAGAAGTTTTTTTAAAAGGGTGCCAAGAATGACTGAGGTTAGGCAATCAGAGGGATCAGCAAAATACTTTTATTAAATAGAAAAAAGAGATAGCAATTCTGAAATGGGAGAGGTAGAAAATGAGGAAAGGGGTAATGACCCCAACATGAGGTAGGCAGACAGAATGAGATAGAACAAAATTATACAATTAGTTGTTGAGAATTGACAAAAACTGGAAGAATGGAAAGCAAAGGATTATGCAGGGGACATGGAGTTGGGAGAATATCTAAGAACCAAGAAAAAAGAGAAATGAGCCAGTATAAAATATTGCCAATAAGGTAGGTGATTTATCAGTCTCTGCTCTCTTCACCCTTTGCCAACAGTCTAGCTTCAGTTTCCCTCCCACAGCACCTCATGTATCTCCTTTGGAAGTGTTCACGACGTTTCATGTCTGCTACTCCCACCAGACTATCAGCTCCATGAGGACATGAATCACATCTGTTCCTTTGATGGGGGGGGGGAGGGGCGAGAAAGGGAGGGGGGGAGGAGAAGAAAGGAAAAGAGGAAAGAAAAGAGGGGAGGGGAGGGGCAGGGGAGGGAAGGAGGTGGGAAGGTGAGCATTAACTAGAAAACTAATCATAAGAACAATTGCAGAGAAGATGTAAAAAAAAGAGACACTATTTTAAAGCAATTGCTTTCCAAGACCAGAGTCTTTGGATGGATTTCCCCAATGAGAGTCACCAAGTAGAATAGGATAGAATTGGCTGAGGAAATAGCTCAGCTCAACCCAGCACTTTCAAGACACTATGAACTATGTAAACTTCTATTCCAAGAAGAGGTGGCCAAGGGTATTAATGTGAATAACAAGTAGCTGGGCTTGAGGGCACAAAAGACGTAGTTTAAAAATAAATATTTTTACCAGTCTTAAAGTTTTCTGAAGAATATTAAGAGCCTTTAAGTTCACAGCAGTTTACAGTAATCTCATCCTTATAGAATTCACTTAACAGATAAGAAAATAAGTAAACAAATATGAAAATAACTCAACCATATACATAGGCAAATTAATTTAAAAAACAGCAAAAAATTATCTTGTTTACTCAATTTGTTTGAAAATTTTTTGATAACTCTGCAAGATATTTAGTACAAGTGATACTCTTATATGTGGTGTAATTGTTTTAAAAAGCAATTTAGTAATATGTACCAAGAGCCGTAAAGATGTTTTTGGCCCTTCATCCACTAATCCCACTTCTGGGCATCTATTATAAGAAAATCATCCTAGCCCTGACTGGTGTGACTCAGTTGGTTAGGTGTCATTTGACAGAGTGAAAGGTCACCAGTTCAATTCCCACTCAGACCACGTGCCTGGGTTGTGGACCTGGTCCCCAGTTGGGGTCTGTGTGAGAGGCAACTAATCAATGTTTCTCTCCCTCTCTTTCTCCCTACCCTCCCCTCTCTCTAAAATAAATAAATCTTTTTTTTAAAAAAAGGATAAAAAGAAATACAGTACCCAGTAATAGTTCTATTCATTAGGATGGTGGGATTATGGGTGATTTTTTTTCTCCCTATTCCTTTCCTCCAAACTTTCTATCTATCATTTTAAAATAAAATAACTGAAACAACTAAATTGGGAAAAGGGGAAAAAGCAAGTAAGAGGGCCCAACTCCTCATTCACTACAATAGAAGTCAATATATAATGTCTAAAATTGATGAGTAAAGCAATAGCAGAATTATTTAAAATATGAAATTACCAGAAGAAAACAGAGCTGAAAGCATGTACCTCTGGGGAAAGCAAAGTTGTGGGAATAGGGGAAAAGGCATAGGGCTTGGCCTACTAATTTGACAATTCAACTGTGTATAATAATAAAATAGACTATAATCTTTGATCCTTCCTACTGCTCTCATTTTCACAGCCCATCTATTCTAAGTTAATAAAAAACCTTTGCCTCTATTTATTTTCCAGTACAAACTCTTCACACATACATCTTTGGGATTTCTCTCTGAAATGACGCTTCAGGTGTTCAATCAGATGAGAGTGCCGACCAAAGTTTTTCCCACATTCAGTACATCCATAGGGTTTCTCTCCACTGTGCACACTGTGATGCTGGACAAGGTGGGAGCTCACACGGAAGGCTTTTCCGCACACCTGACATTTATAGGGTTTCTCACCAGTGTGGACTCGCTGATGCTGAGTAAGGTGCACACGCTGATTATAGCTTTTCCCGCATTCACCACACTTAAACGGTTTTTCTCCAGTGTGGATTCGCCGATGTTGAATGAAGTTTGAAGCTTGAAGGAAAAATTTACCACAATCATTACATTTGTGACCTCTCTCGGCATTTGTGTTTTGTTTATGGTTAATGTCTGTGATGGCACCAACATCTCCTTTCTGGGAAGGGTTCTGCCTTGACTTTCCCACACTGGGGTTTACCTGCCACCTTTCTACCATGCTGTGAAGGTCACTAACTTCTCCAAACTCTTGACTGTGGGGAGCATTTCTTTCAGTGCATCCTGATGTCATCCAGTGCGATTTGGCTTCATCAGAAATCTGCTTTACTATGAGTTCCATATTGTTATTCCTGGACTCATAATCTGAAATAATATAAGGAAAATGGAAAATTTAGCTATTTCCTGCATTAGGATAAAGAAAAAGACTAAAGGATATAGAATAAGTATATGAAATCAAAATGAGCACATGACTTTGTAAAAACCATTTTAACAAATCCATACTCTTATGTGGGGATAAAGAATATTTAAGCATGAAACAGACAGGTTAAGGAAGAAAGAGCTGGCAAGAATGGTTCAAACAGATGAGACTTGTCATTCTATTTAATGAAATTGATATCCTCTTGGTTTGTTACTCATGTACAGTAGCTGATTATGGATACCTAAACCATATTAACTATTCTTAAATCTGATATTGGGTTATACAGCTAACCCAGTCTTAACCTTCCTTTTCCTGTTTAGTCATAGCTTAGAAGAGGATCTTTATAGCTTTCAATCCCCAAAGATCTCAGTTTAGTCTAAAGGAAAAAGGGCATTCTTTCTATTCTTAGAGAAGATCTATTACTGTCAAGAGCTAGATTAACAACACTCAGTAGTCATTAATGAATACAGAAGTTTAAGAGACTGCAATCAGTTCCCTATTAACTGGATCAGCAACATATATTTTGTTCAAAACACTGACATTTAACATGGTATGCAAAGACAAATCTTGAGTACTTAACAAAAATAGGAAATATTATTTTTTAAATGCTAGAGAGATAGATCACAGCCTATTGAGAACTCTCTAATTTTTTGTAAAAAGTTGTTTTCAAATTTATATAATAATATAATAAGAGCTAACATTTGCTGAGTGTGTACTACAGACTAGGCACTATGCCTTTAAATACATTCCAATTTTATGGAATTAAATCCTTACAATAACCCTTTGAGGTAAATATTATTACTATCTTTTTTTGAGTGAGAAGTTATAATTCTTGTAGCATGAAGACCACTTTAATTCTAATGTATCTTATACCTATTTTTACTTAGTTCTCTTCCTAAAAAGACATTTTAACAAGAAACTGGTAATAGTCACCACCTCTTAAGGGATTAGGAGATGAAGGATCAGTGGCAGGTGACTGAGTTTTCACTTTGTACCCATTTACTAATTTAATGCTTTTTACTATGTGCATGCATAACCTTTTTAAACCCAAAATTCTCCAGTGCACTCACACCTCTACTCCACCACCTACTCAATTACCTGCTCACTCTCAACAGGTGACTTTCTCTCTGATTTGAGAAAGGTCAAAGCTATACAGGCAAGAACTCCTTGAACACCCTACAATTCACAACTGCAAACTTGCTGGCAGTCTTATTATTTCAGCCTCCCCTCATCTCACAATAGAAGAGCTCTCTTCCTTCCTCTGGTAACCTGGCTCTCACCATTCTATCCTATTTTCCAGGGACCTCCCTACATCAATTATATGCTCTTCCTTGCCCCAACATTTCAAACTCTCTACTAGTTCTTTTCCAGTAGCATTTAAGTATGATTAAAACTTCTCCCATTAAAATAAATTTTTAAAAGAACATACTAAAATAATCCATCCATCTAACCCAGTGACCGGCACTTTCTCTCTTCCCCTTTACAAAGCTATTGAAAGTTTACCTAAAAGGACTTTCTCAAATTTCCCCTCCTTTGCAATCTTCAATCAAAGTGCTTCTTTTTCCCAAATGTCCCAGCCATTCCATGGAAACAGCTGTTTCCAAGATTCTTTTATTTATTTTTTTAAAATCTCATTTTTATATCTGATGAAATTTTTAAAAATCTTGACCTTTTTGATGCTGTTAGGAACCTACAGCCATGAAAATAATCTATTATGGCTATCCCACAGCAGGAGGCAGAAACCACTGAACATGTTCTTAATGGAAAAGAGTATACTGAAGTTGTAACAATGATGTAATAAAGAGATGGATAATGAAAAGAGAAAATCAGAAAGAACTTTACACTGCTTGGAGGATGGTATGGAAAAAAACTGTGCCAATAACCTCAAATGCTGAAACCCATCAAATACCTATAAAGTAATTGAAAAAGATAAAACAGTGTTAATAGATTCCAACTGGACAAGTGAGATAATTGAATTTAATCAAAAAAGAAAAATTTCTAGATTTCATTAAGTATAATATACTACATAAATAATTCCTTGAGCAGAAAGGCTACTAGATCTCCACAAACAAAAAGGGGGCATGTTCAAATACATAAATGAAAGGAAATACAAATATATATATCAATAGTAATAAAAGAAATGGAAACTTTAAAAGAGTTGGAGTCAGTTTTACACTTGTAAATAAAAGCCTATGAATGAACAAAATTCCTTAGACTGGTATAATACTTTTCAAAAGAAATCTGGCATTATCCATATATTTCATCTAGTCTACCACTGTGCCTGATATATAGTGGTTCTTCTAAAAGAACTCATTCAAAGGAAGCTAAAAGCTTTAAAATGTTTGCCACAGTGCTGAAAGTTTTATAATTGCTCCAGGCAGCACAATCAAATATTCGTTTCCAGGATCATAACTTAGAAAGAATTTCAAAATCTTATTTGGGGTATAAAATTCAAGAAAAGATATGACAAAGAAACAACAAAAAGAAAAAATAAACAGAAATAAAGATTAAAAAACAGGAATAGATATGACATGTAAAATGTAGATGCCAACAGGGCAAACATCGTAAAATAGGTACCAGTGATTCTGAGAATGGTAACAGAGTGAACAACCACCTACCCATGCATTAGAAAGAAAAGAATGAATGCCACTGAGATACTGTAATAATGACTATAATAAAGTTATTCAGCAAAGTCTGAGATGCTTTCACAAATGAGAATTAATCAGTTAAGAATTACTCAATCAGCCAAGGACTAGAATACAAAAACTACTATAAATGTGTTAAAATCCAAACCTGTTAATTTTAAGCTCTTTCATTTTTAAGCAGTAAAAGACAGTATTTGCAAATACTATCCCCCAAGCATTATGTCTTCAGTCATACCCTTATTATTATGGAAATAATCAGAATAAGCTGAATAAGGTAGGGGTTAAGTGTTGATTTACTCTGTCACAGAAAAAAGTAAACTGAGTTACAGCAATTAAAACATACATGCTTTTATAAGATGTACTAGAAATATTCTTTGTAAGATAAAATTAAGATGTCCTATTCCATGCAGACAAAATAAGTCTTACCCATGGAGGCAGTAATAGTCTCATAATTCTCCTTCCTGTCATCCCTATAGAGAGACTTCTGGGACTGGTCCAAATGTCCCCATTCCTCCAGGATGAAGGAAACAGCCACATCAGCCACATCTTCAATTTTCACCAACTTCTGAAACATGAGATTTCCACTAAATTCCCATTCCCCGTGTTCAAATTTGGAGTGAGGGGAAGAACGTATTAAGGGAAGAAATAGAAGGGGGGACTATGCTTCAAAGAGGATGGGGAAGTACTAGGTAGAACAGATAAAGATATTAAAGTACAAACCCAAGGTGGGCCTGCTCTCTAGCTAAAGAGACAGAATTCCTGATAAAGATTCAGGATTAAGGCTGCTACTTCTCCAAGAATAAACATGGGTCCTCATTGCAGGCACAGGGATGCCAGCTCACCTGGGACCCAGCTGAGACAAGTGAGGTTGTCAGCTCCTGGCTGTCCTTCAGGGGAAGGGAAGAAACTTGGAGAGCAGAAAGGGCTGAGGGGGTAGAAAAAGAGAAATGTCAGTGGCGGTATCTCTGCCCAGTTCTGATTGCCACCATATTCCACTTTTGATCAAGAACCTGTAATTGTGCCATGCCACATCAAGGCCAAATTCTTCTGCTTGTCTCTCAAGACCCTCAACATTCTGGCCTCTCCCAAACCTACCCTATAATCACCTTCCTACCCAAAAAACTAGACTCCCTGCTTTGGTCAGGCTAATCTCTGCTGCTGACCTCAGATTGTGCCATTCCCCTGTAACAATGCACTCTGCTCTGCCAAGGTCAAATCTAATCACCTCAAAGAATAACCAAAGTCCCATAGTTTCCATGGGTCTGAAGCACTGCCTAGAGGCCAGGGCTTCTCAAGCTTTAATGTGCAAACAAATCACCTGGGGATCTTGATATAGGGCAGATTCTGGCTTAGTAGGTCTGGGGTAGTCCCCACATTTTGCCTTTCTAACAAGCTCCCAAATAATGCTGGTGCTGCCACTCCTTGGACCACACTTTGATTAGCAAGGCCTTAGTTCACATGTTCTCCCTTAAAGGAATTACTATGGTTGGCTTATAGTCAGCCAGTTAGTATATAATGTCTAGGTATTAAGAATAGGCAGATAAAATAATTCTTGCCTTGCAAAACTTCACTCGCTTACAGGAGGAGACATATAAGCCTTGCTTACTTTCAGAATCAGGTAAACTACAAATACTACACTTGAAGTTCACCCTGTAGGAACACAGAGGCAGGGGCACCTACGGAGTGGAGAGTGGAAGGTGGGAGCATCAGGAAAGCCTTTCCACAGGAAGTAGGGGTGGGGTGGGGCAAGGATAAGGGTGCCTTGCAGGTGGAGTGAATAACATGTGCAAGGCCTAGAGGGTCTGATCTCTAGATGCTGGTGACTTATTGACCCTCTGCTGTCACCTCTGCTTGTTTTTAAGACTCATGGTGCATCCAGACCTTACCATCTTTGTGGACCCCAACTTGAACAAATAACCTAACAGTTTAGACTTTGCTATGGTTTCCTCAGTCCTGGAGATTATGTGTATATGTAGCTTTACTCTGTCCAAGGACTAGGAAGTAATGAGCAATGACACAAAATGGAGATAATGGTTACAGATGAAAGAACAGATGAATGGTTACAGTATGAAACCAGGAATGTGGCTAAAGTGTCAAGAGACAACTTGAAGAAAGGAATGAATGCAGAATACTCGAACACTGACTTTGAGTATAGATTATATTCCAATTATAATTGGAATTATTATAATAATTCCACTTATTTTTGAAGTTCCTGTTAAATCCATTGTTTCTTTAGCTTTTGCTCCTCTCAAGCTCAAATTAGTCCCAGAGGCAGAAACCAGCCTTCAGTGCTATCAAATGCATGAGGAATGCACCCTCACCAGCACTAAAAAAAAAAAAAAAAGAAAAAAAAAAGGAAAAAAACCACACACATACAATAATTTTGTTGGAATAAAGAAGCTAACTGGGGTCTGGCTAACAGTACAGAGAAGAGAAACAGCAATTAGGAAGAAAAGAGAAAAGTAACCTGATCTGCTGAGACTCTGCAAGTATAGGGAAGATGACATGACCTAAGGACAGTATTCTGCACTTAGGAGGGCCTGGTGGTAAAGCAATGCCAGGATAGCTCAGAAGCCGGTAAAAGTGTAGATTTAGAGGGTTGAAATCCCAGCTTTGTCACTTAATAGGTTTGTGACCTTGAACAAATTACTTAACCTTTTTAAGCTTCTTAATTTCTAACAAGAGGATAACAGCAATACCTATTCATTCCACTGGGTTAGCGTGAGCATTAACCCTTGGTATACCAACTACGCCTATTAGACACTATTTTGGGTTTCCATTTTGAACAGTTTTAAGTATTTTTAAAGACTGGAATTACAGGACTTTTGTTCCTTTAGAGGTTTCCTAAAGAACAAAAATAAAATTCATTCTAATATTATTAAAAAAATGGAATAAAACTCATTTTATCATGCAATTTCTATCTGGATCCACTGGTCCCTTTTATAAATTTAAGATACATTTTGGGATCTGAGTGATCTTATTTTTTTCTGTATCATGAAATATTTGTCTATTTCATCATCTTGGAAATTATTTCACTTTTATTAATCATTATTCATTAATTATTCCCAATGAGAGCATAAAAGACAAAAAATAAGAAATGAGAGAATGAAGAAAATATTTAGGATCACATAATAGTGAAATACATCATCATTCTTCACTATTCCCAAAGCATTAAATGCATTACGTAGAATTTGCGTCATCTTCAAGGTATAAGACTACTGACACCTGCTTTTAGCTTTCACTGAGCATAGGTGAGAATTCAGAATTTTTCATTTTTCACCCATATTAGCAAAGAGAAAAAAAATTGCAGAAGACATTTCACTATTATTAGATGAAAGAGATGATGAAGAGTGACAGACGACAGCGTGCTCTCTAATGATAATAAAACTGAAAGTATAAGGGAAATCTTAGAATGAGTCTATGAATGATAATCTCTTAGATGAATCTTCTCAAATGATAAACACTATATTTTTAATTTCATAAAAGGAATATGACCATCTCATCCGGGGAGTAATTCAACAGGAAAGACTTAATGCGATATTATACAACAAGATGCTGGACCATCCCATTTTGCTAAAAGGAGAGTATTCATTTTACTAAAGACACAGTATTTTGTGACTTTTTTTCATTTTTTGTGGGTTTTTCTTATCAAAATGTACTTGATACAAGGAAGTTCAATTCTTCTTAAAATTTCTTTGAAAGCTGTTTTGATTAACCTTTCATTCTTCTGTATATTATGCATAAAGTAACTTAACTATAAAAAATAAAAATGACCCATTCACCCCAGATGGTAACAGTGAAGATTAAATGAATTCCTACAAGTAAAGCTTAGAACAGGTCCTGACACATAGTAAGCACCATAGAATTAATAGTTGTTGCTGCTGCATTTATTATTATTACCACAGTGAAAGGAAAGCTGGAAAAAATTAGAGTCATGGGACATGACAAGTAAAAGACCTGACCACTACTGGGAACCTAGAAGAAAGTCTGGGGCCAAACAGGAAATACAGATTCACAATTTCTAATGCACAATTCTGAAATCCCAAAGCTCTGAATACCAAAGTTTTTTTTTTTTTCATGAAGTTGAGCATTAAACTAATTTGACAACAAAAATTCACCAGAACATATGTGTAGCTATTCAAGTTTTTATTTAATCCATTATTATAAAAATACATACATTCTACTGCCAAAATATTAATGTATGATTAAGGGGTACCACCTCTAATCCTGTTGATAGTGTAATATATGGTATATAAGTAATATTACCTTATTAAATCTGAAAAATTCTGAATTCTAAAATATATGATAGCAAAAGTTTCTGGTTAGAGACTTGTGGACACACACCATCATAAATAAGATACTCAGCTGTTCATTTTTCTTCCCTGATATATCTAATACAGGTAAATAAAATAGACTAAGGGTGGGAAGGACAGAGAGAGAGAATAAATCCTCTAAAAGTCATGTGAAACACTGCTTGAAATAAGACTTCAAGGTGAATGAGCAGCCAGAACTGAATGCAATTAAGAAAGAGAAAGCTTTTTAGACATAAGCATTAAGACCACAAAATCTATTAGGGAGAGTTGGAAAACTCTTGCAAAAAATTATGATCCTTTTATAGATGTTTTAACAGTACCTATAAAATTGTCATCATCTACATTGTAACTTTTGAATAGAACTGTGGTACAGTTCCTACCCGTCCTATAAGCTGACCTCTCTTAACACCAGGGACTCAATTTCAAGTCCAAGACCTTCCCAACCTCCAGATCCTGCTGACTGCAGAGGCTGCCCAGCCCCAAGTTTTTCTCTTACAGACATTTCTTACCCATATGGCCAGGGCACCCACTCTCTAGCCTCATATGCTCCACTGAATCATAGATCCTCACCATTTTCCTCCAGATGGGGCTTCTGTGGCTCTTGTTCAGGCTGCGGGTCCAGAGACAGTAGCTGGTGACTGAAGGATTCCTGCATAGCTCCTGGTTGCACCATCTTCTGAGAAAGGACTTCAGGACATGCCACAATCTAACAACCACAACCACACCAATCAGTACATTATTGAGAAGGCTAGTAAAGAATCCAGTAAATTCAAGTTACTTTCATTGATTCCTTTATCAAATATTTAATGCACATTTATAATGAGCCAGGCACTGATTATATAGTGGCTTAATAAAAATCATTTATGTCTAGTTGAAGAAGACCCATTAAACATTTTAACACAAAATACGTAATTACAAACTATGTTATATACTAGAAAGGAGAATAAAGTGACATGAGACTTACTTTATACTGGGTGGCCATCAAAGACTTTTCTGAGGAAATGTCACTTAAGTTATACACCTACAGGATGATAGAAGCCAGTCAAGAAAAAAGTAGTAAGTGCTGCAGGCAGAGAGAACAATATAAGCAAAGACTCTCAGGCAGAAAGTGGATGTTTGGTACAGCCAAGGAATCTTACAAAGGCCAGTGTGGGTCAAGTTTAGTGAAGGGGACAGAAGTGAGAAAGGAGTTTGGAAAAATCAATTATAGGACTCAGGAAGTCACACTTGGTTCTCCAGTAGGCCAATGCCAAGACGAGCTAGCTAGTTCATGTTGCCACAGTACTCAAATCTTTCGCCACAGTCCTCAATATTTCTGTTCTTGGCTCTTGCTCAACCCTAGGGTACACACAATTACTCTGCCAAGACCAGTCTCTAGAATCTGTCTGTTCTGGAAGGTACCAGCTCAGCAGCAACCTAGCAGGTAATAAGAGCCTGCGTTGAGAGAGAATTGCCATCCTCCTTTCCCCTCCCTTATGGTTTCAAAACACTTTAGATTTTAACCATCTTAGTACTGGCAAAACGTGGTACAGGAGTTATATTAAGAGGCAGTTGCAGAACAGTTGTGGAAAATATTCTGTATGGAAGTCTGCACCCTTGTGGACCCTCTCAGAATAAGAGTTAAGATGATGCCAAGTATGTCAATGGACACCATGGGCACCAAGAACCAAAGCAGTCCTTGATGTCCCCTGAGACTAGGACAGAGAAACCAAGGAGGAAGGGTAAGGATAAAGCCTGGAAAAAGGTTTGCAGAGACAAGAACTGCCTGGAGATAAAGCTGAAGATAAAAGTCAAGGATACAGGAAGCAGGCAGAGAGAAAGGCAAATAAAGTGTGCTGTGGAGGCCCATGAGAAATCCCCATTCTGGGCCTTAAATCCTCACTACCACTAAGAAATGATTTTTCTCCGTGTGCCTTCCAAAGACGGGCTGCATATCACACTGAGAAAGGAGAATGCGTAGTATCCTCTATTGAAAAACACTTTTTGTTGCCCAGTTGGGTGGCTCAGCTGGCTGGAGTATTGTCCCATACACCAAAAGGTTGTGGATTCAATCCCTGGTCAGGGCACATACCTGGATTACAGGTTCAATCCCTGGTCGGGGTTGTGGGGGTGTTTGTGGGAGGCAATCAATGGATGTTTCTCTCTTACATCAATGCCCCCCCCTCCTTCCTCTCTCTCTAAAAATCAATAAATGTATCCTCAGGGGAGTATTTAAACAAAATAATGTTTTTTGTTTTAAACTACGCTTTTGAATATTTATTACTAAAAAAATAAGAAAAAGTGTGTCCATTAATGTCCCAAATTAGGTTTTAAAAATCAGTAACTAGATGTCAACATGAACCTTTACTTCCTGTCCTGAAAGCAACAGAAAGGTTTGAATGTTCCCATCTGCAGGACAGTTACTCTTAAGAAATGCAGGGTCTGGCTGTAGGTCAGCAGCAACTCTCTCTGCTGCCCACTTGCCTCATGGAGTGAGCTACACCAGCTGAGGAGCCTGAAGATGTATGGAAGGTTGAAGTTCCCCTTACCTACAGGTGAAAAATAATGAAACTGGTGCCTTACAGTCAAATGCAATGGCTCTGAATAATGAGGAAAATTCTCTAACTAGCTTCAAACTCTTGTAGACCTACAATGCCATGAGTTTTCCTTGCTATAAAAAGAAAATTGAAGTTTAAGAGAGTGTGAGTCTAGCAATAAGAGGAAGATAGAAGGTCAGGTTATAAATGAGTAAGAAAGCACAAGAAGATGTTAACAACATAAAGATGTTGATCCTCCCTAGATTAATGATTTAATAATGCAATTCCAACAAAAATAGCAACAGGATTTTGGGGGTAGTGAAAATAATTCTAAAAGTTGTAAGGAAAAAATATTGAAAAATAATTTGGAAGAAGGAAGGGTAGCTTTATCATATACCAAAGCACTTCATAGAGCTCAAATAATTAAAATACACCTATATGAACAGATAGTGAGATCAATAAAAAAAGGTAAAGAGACCACCAAAGGACCCAAATATATGCAGAAATTTGGTACGTAATAAAGATGGCATTTTAACCAGAGTGAGAAAAGGTGGATTACAAGTTGCTAAGGCAATTGGATAGACGTCTGGAAAAAAATAAAGTTGCAACCATACCAAACACCTTAAACCGAAATGAAATCCAGATGGATCAATCATTTAATAGTGTAAAAAAAGAAAAAAAGAAGAAAAAACTATGAGAAAAGTCTCTTACAATATTGTAGTGGAGAAGGCCTTTCCAACTATGACACAAAACCCAAAAAATATAAATTAAAAGTCCTAAACTGACTGCATAAAAGTATGCTGCAAAGCAAAAATCTCCATAAACACACACAAACAGCAATGTGAAAAAATAACACTTGTAATCCACTGACAGACACGGTCCTTATTTTTTCTAATAGGTAAATAATATAAAGAGATAATTTTTTTAAAAAAAAGGGTATAGGCATAGCCCTTTAAAATACATACTATAGTCCAACTCATCCATAATAAGGGAAGTGCATGAAAATTGCCAGAATTTGAATACTGAATCTTTCATTTCTCTTGTACATTGTTGTCAGGAATATAAATTGATATAGCCCTATGGAGGGCTAACTATCAACAGCTATCAAAATTACAAGTGCGTACGGCCTCTGAGCCAACAATTGGCCTTCTTAGCATTCATTCTACAATTAATGATGTATGTAAAGGATATTCATTGCAGCAAAGTTGGTTATAGTAAAAATTCAGAAACAATCTAAAGGAACAACTTAAATGACGCTCAACAGGAGTTCAATCATGGTATATCCATACAATGGAATACAATGCAATTTCAAGAGTAAGGTTGTTCTCTTTGCAGTGACATGAAACAAACTAAACTATAAGAAAAAAAGCAAGAGGCAGAAGTACAAAATGATTTTAAAACATTTTTTTAAGAATGTCATATACATATATGCTTATATATACAGAATATAATATACCTCTGTAAGGATATACATGTATCATGTAAATGGTTGCCTCTGGTGAGAACTAGGCAGCTGAAGAATTAAGGGTGAGAAGGAAACTTACTTTTCATTACAACCTTATGTACCTTTTGAATTTTGTATCATGTCACTCAAAAAAATAAATACAGTAATTTTAAAAATAAATAAAATCGTAGACTGTCTTCTCCAGGTTAACACATTGGATACTGCTTCTCTTTGCTGGAGTGGCAGGAAATCTCCACAGTGTACCTAATCCCAGGAGAACAAAAGAATATGAATGAAGCACCACAGTGCTAAGGATCTCACCCCTGCTCAGCAGCTCCTTAACTCTCTTCCTCTCCTTCCTCATTGCTCTAATGTCTCCTCTTGCACTCACCTGTTGTCTGCGTTCCTCTAGTTCTCTCTGTATATTTTCTACCACTGCCACAGCCTCTTCTCCATTTTCCGGGTGATGTTCTCTCACCCAGGTCTGGAGCTCTTCAGGAAGAATGGTCAGAAATTGCTCCAGCACCAAAAGCTCCAGGATCTGCTCCTTGGTGTGCAGCTCAGGCCTCAGCCACTCACAGCACAGCACCCTGAGCTGGCTAAGTGCCTCACGGGGACCTGATGCCTCATGGTACTGGAAGTGCTTGAAGCGCTGGTAAAATGTCTCAAACATTGGCGGATTGTATTCCTGCATCCAGGTGCAGTCTTCTTCTTCCACTTTCACTATAAGAAGGTCTTCTTGCTCTTGTGAAGTTTCAGCTGGAGGGTCCAAGTCTATAACTTCCCCCGATTCTGTCATTATCATTCCAAACTCAGAGGGATGTCTCTCCAGGTTAGCTGTTTTTACACTGATCGAATTTGTTTTCTGCTCTTTAAGATCTTCTGAAGGCCTTTCATTAGCGTGCAACCTACTGATATATTGGAAATCATTATTAGCAAATAAATGACAAAGAGGTCATTTATACTAAAGATGACCACTCAACAGAGTAATTTAAAGTAAGAACTACAAAGCAGCTGTCACTCCACCCATAAAATATTAAGAGAATATTTCCAACACTTAAAAATGTGAGAACCATAAAAATCTGACATCAGGCCCAACCAACACAATTTTACTGGTGCAGAACACTAAATTTCGTATAAATAATAGGACAAAACTTACTACCTAGTCCAGATGCAGGCGTTTCTTCTCTTTACCGTAAGTCAAACTTAAGTCAGAACAGGGGTCATAAATAACAGAATGATCAAAATTGGTCCTGTCCTTCAAGCCACATGAGCCAGATAGACTAACGGGAGACTTCATTGGTCCCGAAGAGAAGAAGGGTAGTAAGTACAGATTTGGACTTGGATTTCTCCGAATCGACCCTGACCCCGTATACACGGAGACCAGCCCGGTCAAGGTTAGGGACAAGAACCCCTTCTGGATACAAAGCCCATTCCCTTTCCTCAAAGTTTCAGCGTCCAGGAGCTCTCCTGGAAGACCAAGCTTCCGCAATAAAGACTGAGAAGACAGGATTCTTCTCACCAGCGGAGAAATAACCCAAGCCGACACTTCTCAACACTTCCTCGCCGGAAGTAAGCAAGTCCAACCTTTCCCTGTCCAACGGGGTTGAGCCATAAATCCCACCCCCGAGAGCACTTCCGAGTCCTCTCTAGGAATCCCGGAGGTCCTCGCCTCGCAGCGGGCGGGAAGTGCCCGCCCCAGACCCCACCCCCGAGGGGCTGTGGGACAATTGGTGGGGAAATGGGGCGCCAGTCCCCAAGCCCAGTCCTAGGTCCCTAAACTAGCCCCAGGGACTGAGTCTCTAGAGCCTTGCAGAAAACCGAGCCACCCTCCTTCCCTACCCAATTCCAAAGCCATTTAAACAGCCCGGGCTCCTCCCCTTTACTTGGACTGTGGAGAGGGGGCGGGGCCTTAGGTGTCCCAAAGAGGTTGCTAAGGCAACAGTTGCTAGTATCCGATTTGCCGTTGAACTTGCTCTCCCCCATCCTCAACGCTCTGCGCCCCAATTCGAAGCAGGGTCCGCACCTTTCTGCGAGCCCACAACCCTCACTTCTCTTTAATTTTGAACCCTTCGGTTTTCTCACGTGAATCTCACCACTTCCCGTAACCCTGTGTTCAGACACACCCACCTATTTACCACCTCACTCAGCTCAGGCGGCCGGAGTCTCCGACGTCAAACTCGCTAGTCAAGGGAGCCAGTGGCTACCGAGACTACAACTCCCAGGAAGCGCGTCGCGGGCCATGCCCGCTAACCAATAGGACTACGTTTGTCTTTTCAGCCTTGGTCTCGCGGACCTATCAGAAAGCGGAGGGAGGTGTTTCCTCAGCCTCCTCAGGTTGGAAAGAGGCCGAGATCGATGCCTAAGCTCCGCATCCCTGCAAAGTAGGAAACCGTCTCTGCTGGGCTTCTTCAGCCAAGGGGCTTCAGTCCTTAATAATTTCTCTTTATTATATCCGTTTACAGAGCTGTTCGACAGACGAGAGAAAGAGTCGCTATCGCCACTCTTTTACATATCCCCAAAATGAGGCTCACCTACTTCATTCTGAAGTAGAAGGCACACATCCTTGGATTCTCCTGAAGAGGTTTTTTTGTTTGTTTGTTTCTTTAGGTTTTTTGTTTGTTTGTTTGTTTTAAGTGTATGGGATGAGTTTTCGCCAGTCAGGGGTGGGGTTTTGAGTAGGACTTGGTAGTATTGTGGTCCACCTTACCAGAACAAAAAAATTCAGAGAAATCCCGTACTATCTCCAGAGAAAACTTTAAACTGGAGAGGTTTAAACTGACGCTGGAGTATGTTTGGTGCATTGTTGTATTTGTGTAGTTTCACTCTTTACATTTAGTATTCGCATAGTTTCACCACCTAGTGAAAAAGTCTATCTTAACACACCCACTCATTGATTTGTGATGCTGCTTTTTATCATACACTAAATTCCCATATGATTTGTGCTCTAAATTTTTTGATTCTGTTGTATTGCTCTATTTGTTTACAGATGTGATAATAAATACCATGCTGTTTTAATTTATTGGGGATTAATAATTGATTTTTAATTGATTTTTAAAATTTTATCATTAATTTTATTTTCATCATATGTAAATGAACTAAACGTCCCAAATAGTTCTTAGTCATCACGCTCAGTACATTTCATCCAACTTTCAAACTTTATTTTTACTATGTCTATCTTGTGTGACAAAAATATTCAGCTTTGTTCTTTTTTTCAAATGTTTCAATTTTATTTAACATTTTAAAATTACTATACAGCTCAATTTGATATAATGCACAGTACTAAAAAAGTGCAAAATATTTACCATAAACATATGGTCATGAAACTGAATACCCACAATGGTTGCATCATCAACCCAACGTAGCACTTTTACTCACTTAAAGAAATGGCAGCATTTTTTAAATCTTCTTGGATGTGTACAGCATTTGTACCTCTTCCATCTACTCTCTCCTGAACTGGTTCAAATGGCTCAGCACATACCCACAGGGTGCTAAGAAAGTCATTAACGCACTGGCTGGCCCCAACGACCTGTTGTTCTTTAGTTGTTGCTTGAGTGTAAGTCTGTTAAAGCAGACAAATCTGTGAATCACTGTATCATTAAGGTGAGTGAATTCTTTTGGCTTATCCAGATTTTTTTATGAATATAGGATTTTTTTCCCTATGAGGAAAGTAGGAATTAAACCCTGCCTTCAAAAATTCTGACTGAAGCCTCCTTGCTAAGACAACATAAAAGTGCATTACAGATTTACTATAGAAGTAATATTCAATTTACAATATCCATGTATTAAAAATAATTTCAGTTCTCTCTTTGAATATGCTGAACTAATTGGGTGTCAGAAATAATTAGCCCTGGTGGGGTAGCTTAGTTTGTTAGAACATCATCTCTATAGCCAAGGTTGCGTTTCAATCCCTGGTCAGGGCACATACAAGAAGCAACCAATGAATGCATGAATAAATGGAATCACAAATCAACCTTGCTTTTTCCCCTTCACCCCCTCTTAAAACAGAAATCAAGAAATAAAAAATTTTTTAAAGAAATAGTTAATTTTAATATCTCTTAGGGTGAATGCACCCAACTGTGTTTCTTTTTCAAAATATTCTTGCTTCTTTATTTTTCAAAATTAACATTAGAGCCCTGGCAGATGTGGCTCAGTAGATTGAGTGCTGGCCTGTGGCCCAGAAGTTCAGCAGTTTGGTTCTTACTCAAGTGGATAAGGAGAGATCTGATCAGATCACTGGGAAAGAGTTTGGAGGGGCTGTAGAAGAGGCAATGGTTAAAAAAAAAAAAATCTAGGGAAGGACTGGCTGAAAAGCTGAATGCCTTCAGAGGTCATGAAATTATGGGCGAGATTTGAAACAAAAGCAGCAGTCTTGACCACAGGAAAGGAGAGGCACTGGATCTCTCTGGCTCTCTCTGGCTCTCTCTGGCTTTCTTTGGCTCTCTTCGGCTCTCTTCCTCTCTTCCTCTCTCCTTGAGGGTACCTGGATGATCATCCTCCCTGCGTTTCCCAATAGACCATATTTTGGATGGGAAGGTACTCCGGGGGCAGCCTAGGATCAGGCTGGCCTGGCAGAGGGTGGCAGGGTTAACTTCTCTGGATGCTCTAGAGGGGACAAGCTCAGAGGCAAAAGTCTGCTCTTCTAATGTTATGTACCTTACATATCTTCTATTGTTTTAGTTTGTAAACTAGCTCTATGGAAATAAGATAATTAAAAACTAACAGGGGAAAATACTAGGAGGACTCAAGTGTGGAAGATTTAGCCTTAATAGCTAGGTTTAAGTGATTAAAACTAACTAAAGAGTGAAAGATTTTAGCCTTAATTGATAGGCTTAAGTGACTAGTGCACGTGGAAAGCTGTTATTCCAAAATTGTGAGGACTTGCAGTCAAGATGGGGTGTGGGCAGGCATGGCTCACCTCTTTGCACAACTACATCAAAATTACAACTAAGATATGGAAAGCCATTACTCAGAACTATCAGAAATTGAGTTGAATGGAAATCTGACAACTATGGAATTAAGGAAGCCAAATCCATCCAGACTGTTAGAAGGGGCACAGATGCAGAACGGGCTGGTCCATCAACCACCTGTAGTGGATAAAAATTCAGGAGGGATACCTGAGGAGCAAGGAGTTCCAGCCCTACACCAGGACCCCCAGCCAAGGGTTCCAGTGCCAAGAAGATAAGTTCCCACAAATCCTGGCTGCAAAAACCAGGAAGGATTAAGTCAGTGGAAGAAACTTTTGGAGCCCCAAGGAATTCCTCTTAAAGAACAAACTCGCCTACTCAGACTCACTCCTTCTGAGCTCCAGTACTGAGGTTGCAGCTTGAAAGGCACCAGTGGCATAAAGGGAGGAACTAAGTGTCTGGCATCAAGGCAAGAGGCCATTGTTCCTTTTTTTAAACTCTCCCCCCACAGAGCGAGCAAGGTGGTGCCATATCCAAGATTCCATCAACATGGCTAACATTGTTTGACCCACCTTGGCAATCACCTGAGGCTCTGCCTCACCAAACTTATGGGCCCACCCAAGCTGTTCTTCCATATGAGTCTTGGTTAATGCTTCACAACTTCCTAAATCCTATCAAACAAGCTACAGCTGGCCTCAGTGAGCCCCAAGACCAGTACTAGCAGCAGCTAGATTCACAACTTGGCTTCTCCTGGGAATCTCCAAGCCCAGCACAAGTAGCAGCCATCTCAGATTGCTTTATAGCTCAGGCAGGGTGGTCCTGGGGAAAAACATAGTTGGGGGCTGATCTTCGCCACCACCACCCAGGATACCCCAGGGCCAGCAACACCCAGTGGACAGCTACAGATCACATTGGAGCACCACCACCCTGCCTCTGCACAGCTGATCCTTCACAAAGAAGGAAGGTTGGTGGAAAGTGGTCACAGACAATCCTTGCAACTGACTGACCTGCGTAAATCCCTCCCACTGATCTGCCAACAGCAACCAAGGCTCAACTACAAGAGGAGGGTGTATTCAGCCCATAGGAAGGATGTAACTTGAGTACCCAGCTTGAGTGATGGGGAGGCAGTGCCAGTGGACCTGACAGGACACCAACAACATTAGGCCACACTTCTAATACACAGAGTCAAAGTTGTTCTACTTAATACATAGAAACAAACACAGGGAGGCAGACAAAACAAGGGGACAAAGAAACATGGCCCAAATGAAAGAACAGACCAAAACTCCAGAAAAAGAGCTCAATGAAATGGAGATAAGCAGTCTATTAGATGCAGAGTTCAAAACACTGATTATAAGGACACTCAAGGAACTTAGTGAAGACCTCAACAGCATTAAAAAGATCCAGTCAGAAATGAAAGATACACTAATTAAAATAAAGAATAATTTACAGGAAACAACAGTAGAGTGGATGAAGCCAAGAAACGAATCAATGACTTGGAACATAAGGAAGCAAAAAAAAAAAAAAAAAAAACAAGAACAACAAACAGAGAAAAAAAAAAGGGATAGTATAAGCAGACTTTGGGAAAACTCCAAGAGTTCCAACAGTCACATCATAAGGGTGCCAGAAGAAGAAGAGAAAGAGGAAGAAATTGGAAATCTATTTGAA